AGTTAACGTCAAGACCTGTTAGGTGAGATGTTTGTATTTAGCTTACTTGCATCTGAATACAATATTTGCTCTATTAGAAATGCATTTTCAATAGAAACGCATATGAATGTCTTATTTTTCCCCACAGAAACACATTTGTAATGTGAGTACATGCACTACTTCATAGAGCAAATACATTAATATTTTTATTATTATCTACTGCATCTAGATGAAACTAATAAAAACATTTGACCTAAGAAGCCGAACCCAAAAAACAAATTTGTCATAATGGTCAATACATGGTAGAGAAGAGGATATTGATAGTCACAGAGGACAGCCAGTCGAATGAGTCAGTCATGAATAGCACTGTAACTAATATTCTAAACTGCATACAAGTCTTGATCACATGCAGCATACCTTCACTATTATTCTGTAAATTACTACATTTTACGTAGAATTACTACACATTACTTTGGCTGAAGACAGCAATTCTATGTGGTTTTTACATAATATAATGCAGGAACATTGAGAATGAGATTAAAGATTTTCACAGTAAATAAAATAGCACATTGGCAGATATACAGGAAGTGAAACCACTCCTTCGATCACTAGATTAGTCATGTGACTGGAAAATTCTACACATTGCCGAATGCATTTGTACAAGTAATGTATACAGGTATGCATGTTGTGTGTGTGTGTGTGTGTGGGGGGGGGGGGGGGGGTTTACAGCATACCATGCTAAAATTGAAGTTATTTTATATAAAGCTCAGAAATAAAAAAAAACATTACTTAAAATTATCTAAATATTAGAATACATTTTACATGTCAACGGATCTTGCTTATATTAACTACACCACTTCTAAGACATTTTCTACACAACTCTATTTTCACATATTACTCTGGAAATTACTGATGTAATAATTACTGACTATTGTGTCATGAGTTGCCCATTAAATTACTTCTGTGACTTGGGGAAATAATTAAGACAGGAAAGAACTTACTAATTGCACTAGTCATCATGAATGACGTTTTAGGATGTTGAAACCTACTTGTAGCTCATGAGAACCCATAACAAGGTACAAGATTGAATGATTTATCATATGCATTCTAATCTCACTTTTAGAGCATCATAACCTTTCCAGGTGACTAAATTGATTGTTTTGTAGTCACTGACGTATATGCAAAAATACAGTATTTGTGAAATTGAGAGAAAATTTTGAGTGCTTCCAGTGATCTCCCCAAGAATTTAAACCACTGTGGCGGCATAATTTGCATATAATTTACATAATAATAGGAATTGACCAAAGCACATTTATACCCACAATAAACAACATATTTTCAAAAACAAAGTATTTATTTGCTTCACAGTGTTATAAACACTTATTTTGGGCACTTTTGTAATATTAATGAGCTCCGTCATAGTGCAAATATTTTTTTTTTTTGCAGTCAGAAAATTACGTTCCAGTTTGAATTTAAAAATGAAACATTCTCGAAATGCAAATGCTGCAGACTAAAAAAAAGGTTGAATGAATGAAACGCATCTGAAACGTTTCAGCCAGGATTATGTTCACGACTTTCATGATCTTATTTACTACAAAATTCTCCTTCAAAAAATCGACCACGTAATTATTTGGCGGATTGCTGGTTATTATTCCGACCATCGGCTTCTACAACGTTTACATTTACAGTAAATGAACGATCAAAAACACTTCCAAACGATCATCAAAGTTACGACGTGACATAACTTACTTCGCGATGTTATACACCAGTTATACCAATACTTCCTCTTACCCAGTCATGATGCCATGCAAAAATTAAATACTTCTTTTTTATATGAAAAAAACGCAAAATTTGAACTAATTTTATCGGGAGAAATTATTTTTGATCACTTCAGTGAAAAACACAGACCCGCCATGATAGCTATGACGCGTTAGTTGACCGCATGTATCCTTTGACCCGATGGGTCAAAAACGCCATTAACCAATCAGAATGCCGCATGGTAATGCCGGTAGAACCCGAAGTTTTCCGAATGATCGTGATCATAAAAATAACATTGCGGAAGTAAAGCGATGTCATAGCACGATGTGTTGGTATGGATTTCAGATAAACACTGCATGATTTTTCGAAAGAGGTGATCAACAATATTTAAAATGTAAAAGAAGTCTTGAAAGAATAGTTTTTACATGATTCACGATGATAACAGTTCAAATGTATTTTACCCAATCACGCAATAAACACGTTTTTTCTTGAGTAGCGTAAACTGATCGTGAACTCCGCATTGCCCATGTTACATCGGGGTGGAATTGATTTTGAAAGAATTTTAGCTTTCAATCTAAAGACTGCGTCTATCGCCAGAAAATATTTACTTACTTACATACAAAGCGGTGCTAATTTTACAAAATTGACTTGTATTGTTTAAAGCTGCTACCACATCGCACGACTATGTCTATTGTTTACAAATTATTATTCACGACTGGCAGGATGCTTGTCGGTCGGTACGCAAGTATAATAACAATATGACAATAGTCCTGGTCAGAAGCGTTTCCGTGGTGGTCGCTAATTTTGAGTGCCAGTCGGGCCAACCAGCGTGACGAGATCCCCAATGAAAAAAGCACTGTGGTGGTCTTGCTAATCATCGTGGCGGTGTCAGACCGGTGTGGCGGCAAATCGAAGCACTGTGGCGGCACCGCCACGCTGTTTACATCCTGGGGAGAACACTGGCTTCAGTTTCAGGTACTCATTGAAACAAAAAACATCATGGTTGACATCACTTCACATCAAATGTTTGTGTGCAATTAGAAATGTCTGCTTATGATGAAAATAAATTTTACTTGCATTTCACAACAAATTAATTTGTACATAATAAAAAATAATTAACATTTATATAAACTCAGTAACAAATTATTTGCATGTGAAACAAAATCGGCAGATCATTCATTGCTGGGCAATAGCCATTTTTTTAGCACAGTTTAGTTAAATTAAAATAACACTTTTCTTTCATCAGTGTTTTAAATATTTTGATGCACACTGTAGATATACAAATTATTTCTTAAAAAAAAATTATTCTTATGAAAAATATATATCCACTATGTGTTAGTTGTTAATCCAGAAGTCACTGATGTCGGATGTAATTTCCAAATGGTTAGTGTTTGGTGTGTTTTGATGACACGCGTTGCCTGATTGTAAGAAAGAATTTTCATTTGAATTGTATTTGACAAGGAGACTTTAAAACATTACAATCCTGCAGTACATTCAGTTTTCATGCAGAATAAAAATGTATAAATTTGACACCATAATAAATCCCAAGTCTGATCAATGACCAACTAAAAACATTATTGTAAGTATTATCCCATGGCCAATTTAACAAAACACTCCTGCATTTCTAGTAACCCTATATTTCAGAGGAAATTTAAAAGTTCATTTTTATGCCAATAAGCCCACAATTATTTATTTATATGCAAATTCTTTCTGGTCAATTCACTAATGTGGTAATTCTTTAATTCAAATCTGCAGTTAAAACACAATGATGTCCTAGCAATAACTTTAGAGACAAGAGTACAGCACATGAGGGGAGGAAGATAGAATTAAAGGCCTCCACAAAACACATTGGGCAGGATTCAAAGAGGGGTGCTTTTCAAATTCAGAATGCTGACGACTGACTGCGTGTACAATACAGAAGACTTGCTTATAAATAGCAAAAGGTAACAGTGACAAGAGTATGTTCACAAGAGATTTTTCTCTGCACTCTTTTGCTATAAAATCATTATTATACTATTTGTAGATATAAATAGTAGAACAAAGGGCAAAATTTCAATCTAACAACAAATATCCAGTTTTTCTGCATCTTGCCACAGAAGTATTGCCTGTATGCTGCTTAGTGACAAGATGATTGCCTTTGTTCAAGATCCACTATATATAGTCGAAATGGGGATTTAAAATTAATAAAACGTCTACCCCAGCAAATTAGTATTATTCGGCCTTAGACAAGAGTAAATCTTTAGAAGGTAGGCCAAGCAAAAAAAATTATACATGCACAATATATTCCCATGCCACTCCCAAATACAGTTTTGACTAGATGGCATTTGGCAAACAATAAATATAATTATCTCTGATCTGGTCAAACCTTGTATATCAATAGAAAGCAGCATATAATCTTATCAGACTTTCTCTAAGTAATAAATTTGAAAAGCACTAACATTTTAAAATGAAATATCCTGACAAGTAAACAATAACATCTTCTGATTAGCAAAACAAAGGATGTCGATTCCAAATGACAAGAGCAGAATTGTAACATATCTATTGTGTTCATTCAATTAACCATTCATCACAAAGAGTACAAGGACATCTTGTTACTTTGAATTTATATTTGGTAATATTATCTACAAAGAAATAACCTGCAGATAGGCACATGAAAAATGATTGAACTATTACATAGAAGAGTGAAGTCTGTTAGTTTTATGTTAATTCACATTTATCTGGAGAGATCCCTATCCACAATAACCAGCACTACTGGTAGACTGAAATTCTCTTTAATGCAATGTACACAAACCAAATAGTAAGCTTGTTCCTTTGTTGTGGTGATGTTACATGCACGACTCATAAGCTCAAAGTTCGATGTTGTATTTCTATTTCAACTGCAAATGTGTAATGTCTACTATTATCAATAATTTTTCCTTAAAATTTAATTATTTAACATGCACTATCAAAGCTATATACCACCATTCTGTAGGTGGATGACCCATTAGTGACCTTGAAATGAACCCAGATGTCATGCATATCCAATTGTTATGGGAACACCTAAAATTAATATAATACAAATGCGGTACATGAAGTGACTGCATTTTATTATTTACACAACACGTCCTGCAAACTGACCTCCTTTCTCGCTGTAGTCCTACCAAGATATTGCAATCATGGGAAAACTGGAGTTTACAGGTCTGGTATAAGGATATTTACCTGTAGTAAATATTGATTATTACTAGTAATATTAGGAATAATAAACAACTATATATTATACTTACACTGGTACATGAGTATGGCTTTTGTTGTCCGAAACAACTTCCTCTTCGTCACAGCTCTCTCCAGAACTACCCTCTGTAGCATCAGAATCAATTTCCATTTGTAAGTGTTTCACTCCGGCTTTCAGAAGATTTGACGTGTCCCTCACCTCTCTTCTAAATTTCTTATTTGGGCTTGACAGTGAGCAGTGTGAGCTAGTAGTTCTGTTTGGTAACTTTTTAGATAGTGTGGAGTTTGTTAGGGCAGTGTTATCTTTGTCCAACTGCTGGACTAATCCAAGCAAAGTTGGTGTGGTCGAGTCAAAGGTACTGGTCGAATCAATAGAATCGACATTACTGCCAGTTTTAATCATTTCTTTTGCTGCTAATATATGTTGATTTTGTTGTTCAAGGAGACCCCCCAACTGCTGTTGCAGGTGACCATCCACCTGCTTATATTGTAAACGCCGAAGACGCTTCAGCAATAATGACGCTCGTTTCTGTAGATGCTGTTGCTTCTTTGACGAGTCTGTTGATTTACCTGAGATAACACTAGAATCGAACACTTCGGTTGGGTTGTTGTTTTGGTTTGTGTTCATCTCATCTTCCACATCTTCTTCATCAGTTTCAGAGATACCAAGAGACAATGCAGTGAGTGTAGTATCATCACTAGCAGTATGAATTGTATCTTCATTTACATCAACAGATGCCTCATCAGAAAAATCATTACGATCTATAGTTTCCACATCAGTGGTTGTGGGTCCTGGGCTTGCAAGTGACTCTTGCGAGGGTGTGGGTGTTCCTGTTGTTGGAGTCTGAGGAGACATTGTTGACAAAGGTAAAGAGGTCAGGTTGTTGAACTTTGCTGTAGAACAAACTGTTCCTGTATTAGTTTTAGAAGAATTATTATTCATCGTATTCGAAAAATGAGAATTAGAATTGCCATTCACTAATTGAATGGTCGATTTGAAGGTTTCACCCATCAGATTTTTCCTCAGTTTCTGTGGGTCAAAGTTTGTACACAATGTCCTCGAGGTCACACGTGGTGTTGTGGAGGGGTGGTGATGACTGTTGCCGTTTTGTTGAATAAACTGGCGACGATTTACCAAACTTTGAGAATGCAACGGCGACGTCAGATGATCCACTGAGTGGCCTGAATCGGGGCTGTCGTGACTGCTAGCTTGTGCTCCCTCGTGGTCCGTCGTAGTTGGAGTAGTTGGCGGGAGTTTAAAACTGCGAGGCTGTGCCGTCGCTTCAGTGAGCGCGGGTGCCATCGCAGCCATACACCATAGCCTCAACGACACCGGAGTAGAAAACATACAAACGTGGCCAACATTGAGACACCAACGATCTCAAAATTACAACACAATCGACACGGTGCGATGAACCTTAATCGCGTTCAGACGATGCAAGCTGTTGGCGACTTTTACACACACTTCTCACGACGACAACAACATAATGGAAACTGAAATAGACCAATGTCCCACACCACGTGACTCGTACCGAGCCCGATTTCCTGCTCAATTTTTCAAACCTCCGTTCGAATGTTTACACCCTTTTTCAGACACTAATTTTACACAAGCAATCCTGGAAAGATCATGCTACGGTGATCACTACTGACTGCAACCTAAACTCCTGTCAGTAAATTCGCAGATTTCGAGTAAAAGGAAAATAATAAGGCTAGGTACCACGTGACTGGGCCACGTCTTGCACAAACAGTCTCGTCTTCACTGTGTTGTTCCCACCCAATATGCCGGTTTTCAACTTGACGTTATACCACTTAAAAATCCTCGCTCAGATTTCAAACTTCGCAGGGCGACGATAGATATCCTTGGCTTTCGGTGTATGTAGTTAAATTTCCGTTTCGATGAGACCAAATTTCGTAAAAACTCAATGAAGTCAGGTTATTTAATGGCGCGTTTATGCCTTTTCATCAAAACTACAAGACCACCACAAAACAAAAATGTGGGCGATTTCATTTACATTAGGCAATGCGTCAATGCTCCCACCCCCCCCTCTAGGAGCTATTGCCTGATTGGTCAGTTTGTTATCTTCGCGCTTCCCGCCTTTTTACTTACTCCCCATTCATAACAAAGATAATATCGTACTGTCGACGCGCGGTTTTCACACTTCCTGACAAAAACTGTCAAAATTGGTTAAACTGACAAAGTCGCAATTTTAACACCTAAAAGTTTAATACAACAACGTTGTTAGCGCCGAATAAAAAACCCTTGAATTGATCGCATCGACGGTAACGATGGGGGAATCAAATATCCAGCATATGAAGAATATGGTTTATTTTGAGGTGATTGCGACATGACTCGTTTGTGTAATGCCGCCCCATACGATTTGAATATGTAGCAGAGACTACGCAGATCCAGGAACAACATACTAGAAATGATTCTTATTTTCGTTATCTGAGATTGTTTTTCAATAGAAGATTTAATGCTGAATTTTGAATGTTGTAATTATAATATTAAAATACGTTTTTAAGACGGAATTTTGCGTGTAGTATGTGAATTTCAGCCATATGACTTGATCACTTTTTTATGTGGCCCCACAGAGTCCTCTAATTTTTATTTCCAACATTCATACCACTCGTTACTAAGTAATGTTAGACAAAAAATAATTTCAAACTGTCTAACTCAAAAAAATAAAATACATGTAACTAAAAAGGATAAATAAAATGTAAGTCCTACATGTAGGTCTCAAACTATGAAAAGTGAAAATTATTTCACACTAAATGAACAAATTGAGAGGAATGTAAATATCAACATCTCTGATTTAAGAACAAATGTTAACTAGTTATAACTAGCTGGGAGGGGGGGGGCTTAACTGTTTGTGTTTTTACTCATTGCAATGCTATTTAAAAAAAATGTGTTACTGTGTACATTTATCATTATATCATTAAATGCAAAACAAAAACAAATTAAATGTAAAAAAAAAATAATACAAAATGTTTACCTGTCACCATTTTAATTAATCTTGCAAAATGTGAATCAGTACAGTGTCATACTAAATATTTAAGGTTTATAATCTTCAAATATTTATAAATTTAAATAATTGTTGTGACATCACTGCAGATGAAATCACAATTCTGAAATTGATGACCCTGTCAGCATGTGAGCTGCGGGAAGTACTAAAAGAGACAACACACAGTATATTGGTAGCAACTTATTCTTGCCAATCCAGTAGTCTCAACTGGATTTGAATAAATGTTCGATAAATTCGATAAACCACTTATAAAATAATTAAACAGCTTTATTGAAAGCATGTTCTTTTCATTTTAATAAATATTTATAAATGACTCAAATCACAGTGCGCAAGTTGGCCAATTGAATAACATTGCACTCTCTGATTGGCTAGTTGGATTCAATTGCTATTGAATTGATGTAATGAAGGGAACAGATTTGTTGTATCAAGAGTATCCTACAATGTGTAATTTTTTAATAGAGTTTGAATTAAATCTTTGTACACATAAACACACTAGCCCTTTTTATGGCAAATCCTCTATCCCAAGATTAAAAGGTTATTTTCTTTTTAATAGTTCTTGGGTTTACTAAAAAATGCAATACATTTATCATAATATTTACACTCCTGGGAGGAATTTTTGTTTTATTAAAGTCTATCCTTGTTTATATGGAGATTATTCAAGGGCACTGTTCCGTTCGGCTCTGATCGAACTGAATCGAACTCTGGCATATCTCGGCTCTCGTTCGGCTCCCGACCGTATGAACGCATTGGAGATAATCTCCTGTTAATCCGTGGGAGGAGCAGTAGTTTGGCTCCGATAGAATGCTGCCATAGCAACTATTGATGAAGTGTCTTCAACTGATTCCTATCGACTCAGGATTGTATATTTCACATTTACTACAAGATCATCAAATTATTTGCGTGATTCCTTCTCTTAATCGGCCCATGACATTCATAATGCATTTCTAGCATTAAAATGATGATCAGCCATCTTGAATCAGATTCTGAAACAGATGCATGTGTAAATGTGTTATATGACATAAGTTTGAACATGATCAGTCCAGTCATTTTAGCAATATGACTCCAAAACAACATTCGTTAAAAACACAATGGTTGTCCATCGGCCATCTGAAAAAGATGTGATGTGCATCAAGGACCAGTTCGAATGAGATCAGGTACGGAAATGCTTGATTTTGAAGAATGTTAGTACTAAAATGGCCGACATCGGC